AGCGACCGGGCCCTTAAGCAAAAACCTCTAAAAAAAAAAAAAAAAAAAGCTGGGTGCACGCGTGTGCATCCCCCAAATCCTGACAGGAAGGAGAAATAAGGGGCTGTGGTGTGTCCATGTCCATTGGGGGGCACTTGCTCCTTCTCTGTCTGGTAACTCACACACCCACAAATTCATGCTCAAGTTTTGTTCAATGTCATTAATTTAAAAAGTATTTTAGAAGTCTATTAAAAGGCAAAATTTAGCTCCTTAAGCATGATTAGGAGGGGCTGGCGGGTGGCATGGTGGTTAAAGGTCCTGGACTTCCACATAGCTGATGCTGGTTTGAGTCTTGGACATGGTGGCTTGCTTTCTCACTTTCTGTCTTTCTCTGATCAAAACTGGAATAATAATAATAATAAATAAAGTTAAATAAAATAATTCTTTAAAAAAAGAATGATTAGGAAAATTGCATAAATTTCCATGGAAAGAGCATGTTAACAATTTCAATTCTGAAATGTGAGTAAAGTGAGCTAACTGAAGATAATACAGGTTGAAAATTATTCAATAAAATATACAGTTTTATATGTATGAGTATGATATACTTACACACACACACACACACAACACTGGGGGGAAAGCCCAAATGTTAGGCAGTGATATTCTTTTTATTTATTTTTAGTTTTGCCAAAGGTTATGTGTGCTGCATGTGTGTTTGTGTGTGTGTTCAGATATGGAAAATAAGAAAGCACCTCCCCAGGGGGATGGCCATGTGACAACCCCTTTTCCTCCACTCTCTTCTCAAGATTGCCAGCTCACACGCACATGTGCCCAATGTTTTTCAAGCCATGGGGTCCAGGACTTGAACTGTGCAGTCAGCTACGTGGGATCTAGCTGCCTTCACCACCATGCCATGGCCTGGTTAGTAGGTAGTCATATTCTAAGTAACTTGTACTTTCTCCTTTATACTGTTATTTATATTTTCCGAATTTCCTACAATAAAAATATACACGTTTCAATCTGTGAAAAACAATACACGTTTAGGAGAGAAAAAAAATCCAACCCTTCTCCACCATACTTTTAATTTTCCTAATTACCTTTGACTGCTCTGCCCTTGAAAAGTGATAGAAATACAGGTTGAACTCTTTGGCACATTCTGGTTTCAGTTCGTACATGCCTCGTCCGGTCAATCCAGGCTTCCTATGGAAGAAAGGCCCTTAGAACAATACTGACGTCATACGTGAATTCCTGAGGTGGGCTTAGACGCTAACAAGGCTCTCATATAGTGCTGGTGGGTGTTAGACTGCAACCATTTTCTGTGGATTAATTAACGTAGCAATTTAAATCCCAAGCTTTACTTAGCACGACCACCTAGAATTTATCCTCACTGAACAAGTGAATGTGATGGCACTGCAGTGGCAACAAGATGAAAGTTTGAATGGGAACAGCTACATAAAACACCACAACTGCAAGCAACTGAGCGCCTTTAAAGGTGACGCTAATTTCTTTTTAGCAAGTAAAGGTGTCTGTGATAAGTTCTTTTAAGTGGAAAAGAACAACACTGGAGTTCCGAGAACCTTCCTAAGCAAGTTACAGAATTCGGAAGCTGAATAAGACAGAACGATAAATATTTTAAAACCATTTATATGAAACAACACTAGTGTAGACTAAGAAAGCACAGGCAATGTATTTATAAGAGTTAAAATTGGTAATATAAAAAAGTGCTTATGGAATGGTTAAGAAAGGGACAAACAACTGTAAAGAAAAATGCACAGAAACATGAATATAAATAGCACACAAAAAGACACTTAACCTTACTGGTAGAATAATGCAAATTAAGACAAGGTAACATTTTTTGACTCATCTAATACACAGAAATGAAACGCTTATCCTTAACAAAGCATTGACAAAGTTGCAGGACACTCTTCCACATTACCAGAGGGAGTATAAATTGATGACTTGTGTGGAAAGGCAGTTTGGAGGTATCTATCAAATGTAATACGTGCCTTCCTTCTGACCTAGCAGACCCTCAGAAAAATACTTCTATAGTCAAACGTATGCATGCTGGGGACCAGCAGCTGGCGTATTGGTTACATTACTGGGCTCCCACATGGCCAACCACAGTTCAAGTCCTGGATCCAACGGCTTTAAACACACCGGGCATGTATGCATGTGCGCCCAAATCCTAAGAGGAGACAGGAGGAAAAGAGACTGTGGCGTAGCCATCCTCCCTGGGAGTGATTTCTCGCTGTCTTTCTGTCTCTGTCTCTACAGTGAACACACACATCCTACTGCAAAAATCTCTCTTAAAAAATAAAAAAGATACACATTCTAATGCTATATACATGAGCCTGCTCAATATTTGTTTAAAACAGAGAATCTGAAAATTAAATACAATACATGACCATGAAGAAACATAAAAGAATGAAGCAGGCCTAGATGTACTGATGAAGCGTACAAAGTTAAAATACACAAAACAAAAACATACCACAGAAACTTCCCATTAAAGTTGAAATTAAAAAACATTATAGAGTGCCAGTTGGTGGTGTAGTGTTTAAACGCGCTGGATTCCCACATGGCCAAACAAGATTCGAGTCCCGGACCTGGCGGCTTGCTTTCTCACTTTCCCTTTCTCTCTCTCTCTCTGACTCTCTCTGACCAAATTGAAAAAATAATAACAAATGGAATGAAATAAATAAATCTTAAAAAAAAAAGATTACAGAATAGCAAATATAAAATGAACCTATTTTAATTTAAGTATATATTCTCCTATCTACTTACATACATGTATAAAGTGTTATAAGCATAGAAAAAAAGCTTAGAAAGATATACATCTGCATTAATAGAATTCATCTTTTTTTTCCTTTCTTTAAAAAAAAAATTGCTAGAGGGTGTGTATGCTTGCTAGAGAGAGAGTGCTCTGGAGAAAGGGATGAGAAAAAGCATGCCCCAGGGGGCCTGACCATGCCACAATCTCCTCTCCATGCTCCTCTTGGGATGTTGAGCATGCCTCCCAAGTCACTGGGTCTGGGACTTAAACCGTGTGGTTGGCCGTGTGGAAGGAAGCAGTTTTAAACACCAGGTCACAGGCTGGTCCAATAGAGTTAATCTAAGTGGCTGAATTATGCATAATATTTTTCTTTGTACCTTCCTATGTTTTTTTTAAAAGTATGTGTTGTCTTTTTAATAATAATAATAATAATAATAATAATAAAAAGACATAGCCACTGGAATTAGAAACATGGAAAAAGCTGAATATGAAACTGCCTCAACAACTTTAAGGGCATAAACTAATTTTATCCTCTGGGGGAAACTGGAGAGGCCATCCTACAACTTGCTTGGCACATACAAAGCAGGGAAAAGAATTAATTTTTTAAAAATAATTATTTTATTTGGGGATGGCAGGTGGCATGGTGGTTAAGGATGTTGGACTCCCACATGGCTCACCATGGTTCGAGTCGCAGACCTGGTAGCTCGCTCTCTCACTTTTTCTCTCTCTATTTCACACATGCTCACATATGCTCTGTCCTTCTCTGGTCAAATTAAAATAAATGAATAAGTAAATGGATAATAATTATTCATAATAATAATTATAATTATTTTAAAAGAACTCTTTTATTTAACTTTATTAACTTTATTTTTTTATTTGAACAGAGAGGGACAGAGTGAGAAAGAGTGGGAAAGTGAGAAAGCAAGCTGCCAGGTCTGCGACTCAAACCACGGTCGCTCACGCAGGGGTCCACCATCCTTAACCACCATGCCACTTGCCGCCCCCAATAAAGAATTATTTAAAAAAGAAAATCACAACGCATTATTTAGATCACTGCTCAGGTTAAGGCCTATTATCTGAACTGTCAGCTATTCTGAACGAGATGAAAGCCTTTGTAATACCACTTTAACGTTGCTGAATGCAGGACGAGATCATAAAAGTGAAATGTCAGTGTGGAATCTAAATCAGAATTATGATTAAAAAGTTCATCATTTTCTGAGAGCGACAACTTCATTCTCAGTACTATCCAAGGAAGCACACGTATGAAAAAGTGAATCACGGAAGTAAACTCACTTGAAATGGGCCACTGCTTCAATTACACTCTCCATGCCAGTCTCCTTGTTCTCCTAAGGGCACAGGGAAGAAACAGTGTGTTTCATGTTAACAGTCACTGCCAGCATGCTGAGCATCCTGCTCCGTCTCCCTGACTCAGAGCAACCCCATAAGGCAGATGTGCTATTAAACCCTCTTCTACAAGTGAGTATTCCATAGTAAGCATAATGATCAATACACACTTATTTTGTAAGACAATATTCATTCAAATTAATACAATTAAAAAATTATTTAACTTTGTTTACTTATTTTAATCTAACTAGAGAGGGACAGCATGGGGGCGGGGAGTGAGAAAGCAAGCTGCTAGGTCTGGACTCAAACCGCGGTCAGCCATGTGGGAGCCCGGCACCCTTAAGCACCATGCCACCTGCTGGCTGCAATACAGTTTTTTTTTGTTTTGTTTTTGGCTTTTAGGGCACTTGTGCCGGTTAGAGAGAGAGAGAGAGAGAGAGGGGGAGAGAGAGAGAGAGAGAGAGAGAGAGAAAGGGAGAAAGCACTCCTTAGCGGAGTGTGGTCATGCCATAATCCCTGCTCCATTTCTCTGTCCTATCAGAATTTTGGGTATACGAGCACATGTGCCTTAGGTTTCTGTCAAGCCTCTGGTGCCAGGACTCAAACTATATGGTTGGCCATGTAGGACCTAACTCTCTTAACCACTAGGACATGGGACTGAACCAATCAATACAATTTTGTGTCACTGTCATGTGAAAGCAATAGCTTTCAGAAGAAATTAAATGGGACCAGCTGGTGGCATGGTGGTTAAGGCAGCTGGATCCGACATGGCTCACTGTATTTTAGAATCTGGATGTGATGGCTTGAAAATACATGCCAGGTGCATATGTGTGCATGTTTGCCCAAAACCTGAGAGGATAATGGAGAAGGGATTGTGGTATGGTAACCCCAACTCTGGTGAGCTCAAGTATCTTATAGCAAAAAAGAAAAAACAAAAACAAAAACATGTTAGGTACATGTATGTGCATGCCCCAGATCCTGACATGACGGAGAAATGGAGAAGGGACCGTGGTGTCACTGTACCCATGGGGGATCATTCTCACTTTCTCTGCCTCTCTCCAGTGAGGGCAAAGGAGTTTGTGGTGGGGGTATAGGTGAAAAAAAAATACCCATCTGGTGAAGTGGTTGAAGGGCTTGTTATATTTTCAATTTCTAGAGAAGTTTGAAATACTTCACAATAGAAACTTGAGAAGAAGCACTACCAGGGACCAGCAGGTGGCATAATGGTTGCACCACTCAACTCCCACATGGCCGACTGCGGTCTGAGTCCCAGACCCAGCTGCTTGAGACTCACACCAGTGCGTGTACGTGTATACCCAAAATCCCGAGAAGAAGGGAGAAGGGATGCGGCATGGCCATCCCTCCAGGGGTGATTTCTTGCTTTCTCTCTCGCTCTTTGGCGAGCACACATGCCTTACAGTGAAAATCTCTCAAAAAAATAAAAGTATTACTATACAACAAAAATAAGGTAGTTTGGATCCCAGAAGAATGAATGTAAAGGCTGAAAGTTCTAATCTATGTTTCTGATCTGAGGAAACATCTGGAAAGTCCTCAATGAAACTGAAGCTCTTTCCCAAGTGTGAGAGTTTCTGGAAAAGCCCCGTGGCTGAGAAACAGGTGACTAAGGGAACTAAGACCCTGGGAGGAAAACAGCTGCAGTTCAGCCTTGGACCGTCCTTGCGACTATTACTTTCCAGTCACTAAAATGAAATAACGGCTCATTATTAAGGAGTAGAGTCTTCTGATGTTTGGAGAAGTAAAAGCTTTGCACAACTTTATTTAGTCTAGAGAAGTGAATAGGTACTTATCACTCCCTTCCTCAATACGCTAGGTTATAATGCGTTATCCATTATATCATATCCATGATGAATATGGACTTACATGCTTGTAATGACCTCTTCTTTTTCCTTAATATATTTTTAAAAAATTTGCTGGAGGGGGCCTGTGCTCACCAGAGAGAGAAAAAGACAGAGAAGAGTGAAAAAGCACCCCCCTCCTAGAGGCCTGATCAGGGCCCAATTCCTTCTCTCTTCTCCTCTCAGGATTTTGGGCACCCTCACACGCAGCTGGCACGTTTTTCAGGGCTAGCAAGTTGCCAGGTCCAGGGCTTACCCACGCAGGCAGTCACGTGGGATTGAGCTGCCTTAGCACTACACCACCTAGCTGGCTGAGCTCTCTTTAATGAATATAAAAATTCAGTCTTGGGACCAGCAGTTAGCGTAATGGCTATGTCGCCGGACTCCCACGTAGTCGATTGCGGTTCGAGTCCTGGACCTGGTGGCTTAAACTCACGCCGGGCGCGTGTGCGTGCATGCCCAAGATCCCGAGAAGAGAATGGAAGAGAAGGGATTGTGGCGTGGCCATTTCCCCTGGGGGGTGATTTCTCGCTTTCTGTCTCTGTCTGTCTGGTGAGTGCATGCGCCCTATAGCAAAAAAAAAAACCTCTCTAAAAAAAAAAATTCAGTCTTAAGGACTGGGTTATTTTCTTCAGTGTCCTATCTCTTTCAAGGCTTTACTGTAGAAGATTCTAATCCTATTCTGCTCTCCACTACTAGTTCCTAGTATTCTCTCTAATTATTTGTAATAACAGTGATGAGTTGTATACAGTCTAGAACTAGTTTTTACAAGATAGGTATACAGAAATAAATCTATACAAAGTATACCGACAGGTAGAAAATAATTTCAAAAATTTTCTTTCTTTTATTTAAATTGCTGTGGGGTGGGGGCAGCAGGTGGCATGTTACATAAGGCACTGGATCCCACATGGCCAACTGTGTAGTTCAAGTCTGGACCAGTGGCTTGAAAAACACATAGGGGACATGTGCATGTGTGCCCAAAATCCTGAGGGGAGAATGGAGAAGAAGGAATTGCAGCATGCCATCTCCTCTGGGAGGTGATTACTCACATTCATTCTCCCTCTCTCTCTCTGGCAAGCATATGCACCCTATGGCAAAAATCTTAAAAAAAAAAATTGCCAGAGGATACATGCACACACATGGTGCATAAGAGAGGGAGAGAGACAGACAGACAGACAAAGAAACAATCGTTTAGTGGTTCATAAGCAGGCTGTCGTCATTTTTCTTCTATTCTCCATCCCATCAGGATTTGGGGCAAGCTCATGTGCCTTGCATGTTTTTCAAGTTGCTGGGGCTGGATGTGAATTACAGTCAGCCATCGGGGCCCAGCTCCCTACCTACAGTGCTTAACCACCACACTATGGGGCTGACACACTGTAATTTTCTTTTTAACGATGTAGGTACGGGGGCCAGCTGGTGGCACAGGGTTAAGGTGCTGGACTCCTACAAGGCAGCCTGTGGTGCTAGCAGCTTGAGATGTGTGAGCATGTCCTCTAGCCTCCTCTTGGAAGGACTGCAATGTGGCCATCCCCCTCGCCCGGGGTAGTGATTTCTCAATTTCCTCCTCATTGTCTTTCTCCAGCAAGCGCACATGCCCTATGGCAAAAGCTACGAATAAAGAGAAAAGAAAAATGTAGGTACTTATTGGGACAGCAGGTGGCATGGAAATTAAGGCCAAGATCCCACATGGCCAAGTAAGAGGTTCAAACCCTAGACACAGCAGCTTGGAAATCATGTTGGGTGAGTGTGTGTGCGTGCCCAAGAATCCTACCCAGGGGCAGTTTTCTCACCTTTTCTCTCTCTGTGTCTCTCTGGTAAGTACACATGCCCTATACCAAAACTAAGGGAAAAAAAGTAGGTACTTACATCTTCAGGTAAAGACTTTACCAATTCACTGTGAGCCATAGGCTTGATGCTCAACTGATGGATAATTTCCCGCTTAATTTCATCTGTAGCATCTACCTGTCCAACTCCAGGACTAAATCTCTCGCCTGTCAAAATAGAAAAATTGTATGTTCACAGAATGTAACCACAATGCTTACGTTACAGTTCGTGCGTGAATGTGATTCTCTAGTTAAGTGTTTCTATACAATTGTAAAGCAATGACTGGGCTAGTAAGGAGCTCAGGAAAGAGCGGCTCCTGGCCACACTTCTGCGGCTCAGACGCAACCAGTGAGCGTGGGTTTTGGGCTAGAAGGATTCATTCATGTGAGGAAACTGCTCTGACTCCACCTCTCTTCCAGCCTTTCCTAGTCTATCCAGCAGTCAATAGGGTATCACCTTCTGAGACTCCTCACTGGTATTACCTCCTGACAACAGCCAGATTCTCTGCTCTGTGAACCCTACATGGTCGGAAATAGGAGGCAGGAAAAGAAAAAGCATAAAGAAATAAAAAATAAACAAACAAACAAATAAAAAACAACTGAGAAAAAGGGTGGTTCAGGTCCCAGTGGCTTGACACTCACACCAGGCACATGTGTGCATGCCCAAAAGGAGAATGGAGGAGATGAGACTGCACCGGTGGCCACCCCCCTAGGGGGTGATTTCTCACTTTCTCTCGTCTTTCCGTTAAGCACATATACCCTATAGCAAGTATCTCTCTTAAAAACAAACAAAAAGAAATCCACATCTACTAGCTATAGGTCTCCAATAATTTGGAATTACTGTATCTGAAATCAAGAAGATTCCTTTATACCACAAAACCATGGAAAGAAACATAGCTAAGATAGAAAAAGAAATTAAAAAAAAAAAAGTAACTTAAGATAAAAGTAGCAGTAAATAACTTTTAAATACCTTATTCCTTACTTGTTAAATTCTCCCCATCTTTTCCCCCCAAAACATGAACTCTTCTGCTCTTCTGGTTTACTCTGCTTTAGCAGTTAAATGCTTGCCTTTTTCCAAAGCACTAATGTACATTATTACATTATGGTAATGGGGGGGGGATGACAAAAAGGAATATTCCAACTCCTAAGCACTACATTATTACATTATGGTAATGGGGGGAGGGGATGACAAAAAGGAATATTCCAACTCCTTTCCTTAAAACCAAGTGCCCCCTCAAAACAAAAGAAATGTAGGCAATGTAGGTAAGAAGTTCTGAGTTATGAGTGCCACGAAATCCAAAATCTTTGTAATTTATAAACACCTTGAACAATCTAAACTTACCAACAAGCATTATAATGAGGTAGAGCATTTCTTCGATTAGAGTATTGTTCTGCTGAACGACATCCTGTAACAAGCGGGGACATAAAGGTCAGAGACAAGAATATGCAAACTCTATTATCTCAGGTGAGTAAAATGTCCAAGAAAAGAAAGAACAATGCTTCCCTGGTAACATGCTGTGGTCTCGTAAAACATGTCCTTACCTTGTGGGTGATCTCAGAGCTAAATCTTTTCCCGTAGTCTGGAGTACTGAAGATCTGGTAAAGTTCAAAGCGGCTGAGCATTATCATCAGGAAGTGATTTGGATCCATCATGGAGACACCTGTCTTTTTTTGTTTTTGTTTTTTAGATGTTTGAGATAAAGGAAAAGAAGAAGGTCAAAAGGGCCACTGAACAATTAGCGATAGGTATTTTGAGTTGCACAAGAGAAAAAAGCTAACTTGTTTACCAATCCCAATAAAAGATGGAGACACATTTTGTCACAGTCCCTACTTGGGGTAGCTGACAAGTGTGGACAGAAATTTGTCTAAACCAACAAAAGCACCAAAATCTAAACCCATAGATCAGGTAACATGGACTATATGTGCTCTTTAAAGTTCTAAAATAATTGTGCTCTTATGAATTCAGCTCCCAAGTTTTTTTTTTGTTTGTTTTTCTTTTTTTTTTTTTGAGAGGTTTTTGCTATAGGGCGCGTGCGCTTGCCAGACAGACAGAGAGACAGAGAGACAGAAAGCGAGAAATCACCCCCCAGGGGGGATGGCCACGCCACAATCCCTTCTCCATTCTCCTTTCGGGATCTTGGGCACGCACGCACATGCGCCCAGAGTGAGTTTTAAGCCACAGGGTCCAGGACGCAAACCGTGGTCAACTACATGGGAGTCCAGCGACATAGCCATTATGCTAACTGCTGGTCCCCAGCTCCCAAGTTTTATGTTAGGCTCTTCTATCACTGTCTGATGATCACTGCAGATATATATATATATATGGACTCTGAGAGAAATGTAGTATGTAAACTAAGCTTCTAGTATTTAAAAAGTATCTATCATATTAAACTAATAACAAGATCTCTCCACTTTTTTTTTGTGCTAAGTGCTATATGACTGAAGTGACAGATTCTCAATATTAGTTTTAACTTTCTTTTAATTCTACTTATATAAATTCTAAACCAACTTGGATTCTAATCTGTTTTGAACCAATAATTTTTTATTGGTCAGAGGGCAGGTGTGCTTGCCAGAGAGAAACAGAGAGAGAAAGCGCCCTCCACTGGGGCACAGCCATGGTGCAATCCCTTCTCTTCCGTCTGTCCGTCCTGCTGGATACCGGGCACACACATGAGCCCAGTACGTTATTTCAATCTGCCAGGTTGGGATTTGAACCACAGTCGGCCACGTGGGATCTAGCTCCCTTACCTCTAGGCCATGGGGCTGCTCCATCAATAACTTTTGGACATTTATTTATTTTTCTATAATTATTAAACCCATCCACCATTAATAGGGAATAAGCACTGTGAGACAAACACTGTTTTAGGCAAAAGGGACAGACAAGATAATGCTGCCACGGGTTGGTGGGAGGGGCGTGAGAAGTAGACAGGTAATCACAATCCAGAACCCAGCCCCACGGCGGGGAGAAGCGCCATGCTCCAGTTCCTCACAGCAGGGACAGAGTCAAGCTCTAGTGGCTCAGAGAGAAATTCCTAGAATGAGTGATACTAAACTAGACACTAAGACGTGGGGAGGTCAGTTAGTTGGTAAATGGAAAAGGATGGGATGGATAACCTGGGGGTGGGGGGGGACGTGCAGCTCAAGACTTGAGAGCATGGCAAATTCAGGGCTCATCAAGGTACTGGGTCATCAGGAAAGCCATAGCACATTTTTGCATAAAAAACATACCTAATAGGTATTACAGAGTTTGAAAAATTCATTTCAGGGGTTTAAAATGTGCTAAAGAAGCAGAGAACACAAAGAAAAAAGGATGGCTTTCAGGTTTCTGACTTTAGCAACTACATATGCCACAGGACAATTTGGCAAAGCAGAAAACCTAAGACAAGAAAGAAATCCAGTGGAGAGAATGGGAAGTTATTCTGAACGTGCAACGTCTGAGACAAGGTCAGGAAAGCTGAAGGAAATGTTCTAGAGGCGGTTAGCCACATGCACTGGAGCCGAACAGTTCGGGCAAAGCTGGGAGTGACCCCAAGTGACTGGGCTCTGGGGAAATAGTAAGAAGAAAAAGAGTTCCCACAGCCTTTAATTCAATGTTTTTAATTCATTACCTGAAGCATCACTATATCCTTGTCAAACATTTCACGTCTGCATTTCACATTGTGGTAATAATAAATCTAAAAAACAATTATATTGGGTAAGTAGGTCTTACTGGCACCATTCCCCTCTCTCCTTGCTCCCAATAAAGACCACGCGTTCTTGTGCAAGAGTAAGCACATGCATGGGCACGACGTGGTCTCCCCAACAGTAACACGGTCTTAGTAATTAATCACTTAGAAATGTCCAGACTACAGTGTTCACTCTACCATTTACATTTTGCAGCCACTTTCTGGGTCCCCTAACAAGTAAAATGCTGTTGTCTCAGGAAGGCTTAGAGCTAACCAAAATGGTGAGGCCTAAGGGGAGATCCATACTGAGCCTTGGTGAGGTTTAAAAACTAAAACCTCAATTTCGGAGCTATACTAAAAGGAGTTTTATCTTTTAATACAATTTAAATAGATAGAATCTAAATTTTTATAAGTTTTTTAATATCCCATTTTGTTGTAAAAATTTCAAGGGAAAAATCAAGATCACTGTCATTCATTTCTACTTTTTTTTTTTGGAGAGGTTTTTGCTATAGGGCGCGTACGCTCGCCAGAAAGAGAGAAACAGAGAAACAGAAAGCAGGAAACCAACCCCCCGGGGGGTAGGGGGGAGATGGCCACGCTGCAATCCCTTCTCCTCCATTCTCCTCTCCGAATCTTGGGCACACACGCACACGTGCCTGGCATGAGTTTAAGCCACTGGGTCCGGACTTGAACTGCGGGCGACTACATGGGAGTCCAGCAACATAGCTATTACACCAACTGCTGGTCCCCATTTCTACTTTTGATATTATTTCTTGACAAACTATAAATAAATATCATTCCACTATTTTTTTCCAAATGATTTTAATACACTTGATTTTTTTTTTTTTTTAAATAAAGAGATTTTTGCTATAGGGTGTGTACACTCATTGGAGAGAGAGAAACTGAAAAATCACTCTCTGGGGGGATGGCCCTTCTCCTCCATTCTCCTCTTGGGATTTTGGGCGTACACGCACATGCACCCAGCCTGAGTTTCAAGTCTCCAGATCTGGGGCTTGAACTGCGGTCTATCGTGTGGGAGTCCAGCAATGTAATCATTATGCCATCTGCTGGTCCCTATACTCAACTTTTAATGACCAAGTCCACTAAAAATTACAACCTTCACAGAAGCAATGGAAAGAAATGAAAATTCTCCATAGAATTAAAGAAAAACTTACCTGGTTTACTAGAGAGAATCCATTTCTTCTCCACATTCCAGCATGTACTTGAGCACATAAAACAAGACATCTAAGAGGGTGTTCTATCAACATGGGTGGGCTAAGTTCGCTCTGCATGTACAAAACAAAACAAAGAAAACCCCAACTCTATAAAGGAGTATGACTGATAAAAATGGAAATTTTAAAGTATCTGCTACAGAACCTATGCACTTGCTGGAGAGAGACAGAGAGAGGAAGAGGGGAAGGCCACTCTGCAATCCCCTCTCCTCCGTTCCTTCCCAGGGGGGAAGGTCACTCTGCAATCCCCTCTCCTCCATTCTCCTCTTGGGCATGCATGCCCACATGCCTGGTGTGTTTTCCAAGCCACTGGGTCCAGGACTTGAATAACCTAATCAGCCATGTGGGATCTAGCCACCTTAACCACCACACCACTGGCTGGCCCTGAATAAAAGCTTTATAAATTGTAAGTTTAAATTATTATTTATTTATTTTAATTATTTATTTAATTTTATTTATTCATTAATTTATTTTAATTTGACCAGAGAGAAAGAGAGAGAGAGACAAAGTGAGAAAGCAAGCCACCAGGTCCGGGACTCAAACCATGGTTGGCTATGTGGGAGTGCTCACCACCTTAACCACCATGCTACCTGCTGGCCCCCAAAATTATTATTTTTAAAAAATTATTTTATTTAACATTATTTATTTATTTAAATCTGATCAGAGAGAGAAAGAGATAGATAAAATGAGAAAGCAAGTCGCCAGGTTCAGGACAAACCGTGGTTGGCCATGAGGGAATCCAGCACCCTTAACTACCATGCCAACTACCAGCACCAAGTTAAAATGATTTTAAGATACGTTTGTGTGATGGTTAATTTTATGTGTCAGCTTAGGCTATGGTGCCCAGTTTATCGTAAATACTAGTCTAGATGTTGCCATTACTAAAATAGATTACCCTGTATAATAGGGGTGGGCCCCACCAATGCAGCTGAAGGCCTTAAGAGAAGAATATGGTCCCGGAGAACAGTAACTCTGGTTCCAGGATTGACTTTGTACTCAAACATTGCAACATCAACTATTTCATGAGTCTCTCTAGTCTGCCCTGCAGATTTTAGACTGCCTGGGCCTCCCGGTTGCATGAGCCAATTCCTTCAAATAAATCAAGTCTCCTTCCCTCTTTCTATGTATGTATACACATACTACTGGTTGTTTCTCTGGAGAACCCAGACTAATAAAGTTTCAAAGCTATTTCAAATTGAAATCTGTATCCTATTATATACATATATAACATACACATACGATATACACAATTATATACTATTATATAATATGCCTATACTATTATTTAGTAACTTGTATATTAGACATATATTAATATATAGTATTTTATATAAAATAATCTGTTTTAAATGTCAGTATTACTTACTAGAGGTAGGAGCTCTGGAAATTTATATGCCACTTCACTTTTGCTTAATAACACATGTAAACCTATAGGGAAGAAAAAGAAAATAAAGTATTTCTGTAAGTGAAAATCACTTAGGGGGAAAAAACCCACAACCCAAAGTATTCCCTCAGTTTTTTATCTAATTTCTTTTTCCTTTGGGAACCTATCAGGTTCTAGATTAAGATATAAAATGAGTTACATCCATAAATGAAACTTTCTAATGGTCACTTTCACAAACCTCTGTATCGAAGGCACACTTGGGAGCCAGTCTTAATTACATGTACCAACACACAGTGATGCTACTTTAGAGGAAAGTGTTAGACACACAAACACAGCAAAAGCAGCTACATAACCGTGTGTGTGTGTGTATCAGATTAATGTTGAGACGTATTTCACTGGGCCATGGTTTGTTCCTATTTAAAGTATAGTGAGAGATCCTTTAGCAACTGAACACAGAAACCAGCCCTGGGATTCACTGTCTGTACTAACCCTTTCTTCGGAATTAAGTTCTCCAGAACTTCCAGGCTAGAGTCAAAGCCTCTTTAGTTCCTAACCTCAAGGGGCTCTTTCACAGCTCAAGCTTAGTTCATTCTGATTTTATTCTGTCTAGTTGTGGCCTAAACAAAGAATGCTCTTTACAGCCTTAATACACACTGGCCACTTGTGTAAGCCTGGTTTGAGGCTCTCCTCAGCTAGGGAGACCTGTGTTACTAATCCCATTCTAATAATTTGTTCTCAGCATTTACTGTTCAAGAGTCAGCAGCACACACTCCAAGTTGTTCATGAACTGTTCTGTGCACCTGTACTTCGCTCTCCAATTAGACTAGACACACTCAGGGCAAGGTTTATTACACACAGTGAGATTCACACACATGGAAAACTCACTGAACAGATTTGAGGGAGGTGAAGACTCAGGCAAAAATTAGTACATTTTAATTTATATCTTCCTTTATTTAAAATTTGCTATAGGGTGTGTGTGCTTGCTGGAGAGAGACAGAGAAAGAGAGAGGGAAAGTGAGAAAGCATCTCTCAGGAGGGACGGCCATGTTGCAGTCCCTTCTCCTCCACTCTCCTCTTGAGATCTTGGGTAAAGCATGCACATGTGCCCGGGATATTTTCCAAGGGTCTGGGACTTGAACTGTACAGTCAGGCATGTGAGATCCAGCCGCCTTAATTACCACATCATCTGGCTGGCCCAAATCAGTACCTTTTTAAAGTACTGACTTTACTCACTGCAGATAACTATCAACATCACTTCTACTCATACGACCAAAAAATTTTTTTTTTTTTTTGAGAGGTTATTGCTATAGGGCGCATGTGCTCGCCAGAAAGACAGAGATAGACAGAGACACAGAAAGTGAGAAATGATCCCCCAGGGGGGATGGCCACGCCGCAATCCCTTCTCCATTCTCCTCTTGGGATCTTGGGCACACACGAACGTGAACCCGGCATGAGTTTAAGCCACCAGGTCTGAGACTTGAACCGTGGTCAACTACATGGGAGTCCAGCAACACAGCCATTACGCCAACTGCTGATCCCACAAAAAGATTTTTAAAGGCAGAAGGAATCAGTGGCTGAGTTGGAGATAGGATTCACTTCCTGCCTTTTAGTCCAATGTATTTCTGCACCATCACGCTGTCAGCTGCCTATGTTGAGAATCAATAGCTCAGCTGTTCAAAACACAGAAACAAAACTGGGAACCTTCTAGGAATAAAGCATATTTCTTATGATCACAATTTAATTATAGGTAATTATTTGGTGTACTATTTTGATATTCATATGTCTAAAAATAACAATTTCATAAGCCTCAGTGTAAGTTATCTTAAAACTGCAACTTCAGTCATATCCTAAAGACTATTGGATTATAAGAGTCTATCAGCAGGGTAATGTGACAATGCTCAGAACGATGAAAAAACTGCCTTCAAAATGAAAGACAGATCATTACCACTAATCCCATCCACGTTAAAAGGATAATGAAAGTATACTATTAACAATTCTAGGATAAATCTGAAAAACGTAGATAACACGGACCAGTTCTTTTATAGACACACAGTACCAATCTTCCCGCAAGAAGAAATAGATGACCTAAATAGGCCTATGTCTACTAAAGAACAATGCCTGGCACATAGTAGGCATCCGCAAATATTAACCACAAACAACCAACTTAAAGATCATTTTAGGGTTCTTTTTCAGGGGGAAATGCTTTACCTGCAAGTAAGCGAGAAACTGGGAGGTGAATGCTAACTTTTTCTTGGGAAACACAGTATCTGATAGTCTCCACTGAATGTCCACAAATGCTTAGTGTGAGTGGCTGTTCACCATCAGTAAAACCACCATGACACTGCGTCAATACAGCAAGGCATTTCTTGTAAGCTTCAATTAATACTTTCTCCTAAAAAAGAGGGTTTTTCTGTAAGTTACTCAACAGGTTGGGTTTCTACCACAAGAATAAGCAAACCCCTCAAATTTGATGATGAGTAAGTTCTTCAAATAACCATTTGGGCAAAACCAAACTCGATCTTAACTCTTGAACTTGGTCCCTCTTCTAGTGTCCCCTGTCTCAGAGAATGACACCTCTATCCACACAGCCGTGGAAATCACGAAGTTATTCCAATACCTTCTTCCCCTCACTCCCCACTGTCCAAGCTGCTTCCATGCTGGCAATTTCACCTACTAAATTTCTCTCAAAACTAGCATTTTTTCTCTATCTCCAAGAACTCCAAGGCCCTGCCAATCACCTAAGTTTCTTGCCTCAACTCTTAACCTCGCCATCCATTCTCAATAGAGTAATTTTAAAAAACATGTAAATTGGATCATGTCACTTTCTTGCTTAGTAGTCTTTAAGGATTTCCCATTTTCATGAGAATAAAACCTAAGCCTGTTTCCATGGCATCTCAGGTGCTACAAAGTCAAAGCCCTCGCACACCTCTCCACCCTAACCCTCTGGCACAGCACCTCCTCACAGCTCTGGAACAACCCTCATCTCTCTCATCACAGAGCACGGCCAAGATGTCATCTCAGCCAGGAATATTCTTTAGTCTTTGTTAACTTCTTAATTTTTACTTTTTGTTTAGTTAACTTTAATACATTGTTCAAGCCACATAGAAGCCTTTCCTGACCCCTTACCTTCCGTGTGTGTGTGTGTGTATTTTTTTTTTAATAGAGGTTTTTGCTCTAGGGCACATGCTTGCACACGTGCCTGATGAGAGTTTCAAGTTGCTATGTCCAGGACTCAAACCACGGTTGGCCAAGTGGGAGTTCAGTGCCTTAACCACTATGCAGTCTGCGGAGTCCCTTTACATAGACTCTTACTTAGACTTTATCGCCAGGAAAAGCCACAATAATTTTAAGACACAGGATAAATATACCAATACTAAATATTTTTGGACAAATGTACCAACTATTGTTTTTATAAGTTCAAAGTCCAGAAGGATTATGAAAAAAATAAAGATGACTATGTTAGGAAAAAAAAGTAGTATAGATTATTTCCTTCTTTAGTTATTTTTTAGGTTTTCTCCTAAGGCTTTAGAGTTTTAATTAAAAAAAAATTATTGAAAATTATAGGGGGAAGGAAGGGGAAAATATACTGTTTATGTGTTAAATATCACCATTACTTTCTCCAGATTGCCTCTAAATTTACTGAGGAATCTGTTTATGCCCCCTTCTTTCATTTTCCTCCTACCCCCCAGTCCTAAAAGAAACTCACATCTAAAGCACACCAGTCCTGCATCATTGAAATGACATGTGTTAATTTCATTTGTAGTGTAAAGGCTGCTTCCCACTCTGGTTCCATTTCAATATGTTGTCCTACTTGACGTGTAATTGGATCCATTCCCTTAAAAGAAACAAAAAAGTTATATAAATTAAATTATAGTTGTTCTCTTTCATAAAAACCTAAAAAATAATGAAGAATATATATATGTATCTATACTAACAAAATGTAAGGCAAAAGTTTTAATAGGAACCTTCAAGTAATTTGAGAAGTCATAGCTTTAAAAAAAAATTAAAAAAAAAAATTTTTTTTTTGAGAGGTTTTCGCTGTAGGGCGTGTGCGCTTGCCAGACAGACAGAGAGAGAGACATAGAGACAGAAAGCGAGAAATCACCCCCCAGAGGGGATGGTCACGCCGCAATCCCTTCTCCATTCTCCTCTCAGGATCCTGGGCACGCACGCACACGCGCCCGGCGTGAGTTCCAAGCCACCGGGTCCAAGACGCGAACCGCTGTCGACTACGTGGGAGTCCAGCGACATAGCCATTACACTAATTGCTGGTTCCCTTAATTTATTTATTTTAATTTGACCAGAGAGGTTCAGAGAGAGAGAGAGAGAGAGAGAGAGAGAGAGAGAAAAGGAAAGTGAGAAAGCAAGCCACCAGGTCCGGGACTTGAACTGCAGTTGGCCATGTGAGAGTTCAGCACCCTTAACCACCATGCCACTTGCTGGCCCCAACGTCAGAGCTTTAAAAATGTGTTTACATTAAATATTCTCTAAAATACAAATTAAAAAATCCCAGTATAAAACAAATTATTTTAGAGGCAACTTTCTATCTCTGTTTTAGAAAAAAAAAAAATACTTTAATACTTCACTGCCACAATTCTTTCAATTCCCTTTTGGCTCTACTTTCTATAGAATAACATTTTTATATTTATTCCCTAATAAGCAATCAAAAAAAAAGTCACAGAGCCTGAAACAAAGCCAAACAAGAAAAAGATAATGGCTTTTAATACAAAAAGATGATTATTTCTGGGCCTGGATCCTCTGGGAGGTAACAGCACCTGAGAGGGTTCCAGATTCAAGTCTGGAGAACTCCCTGATAGCACCAGGCCCAAGTATGCCCATGACCTGGGGCTGGCTAAAGAGTAGGGGTGGGCTGGACGGTCAAGATCCTGTCGTGGGTGCTCCTTTCTGCCTCTTCTTGTCCCCATGGAAGAAATAAATAAACTTTAAAAAATAAGATTATCACTTTTTTCTTCCTTTAGGGTTTTTTGTCATAGGGTGATGCATGTGTTGGAGAGAGAGGGAAGGGAAAAGCCACACCACAACCCCTCCTCTTTCATACTCTTCTCAGGATTCTAGACACATATGCTCACACATTTGGAGTGGTTTTAAGCTGCCAGGTCCGGGTCTCAAACCATAGTCAGTCATGTGGGAGTCCAGTGCCTTAAACTTCATGCCACCTGCTGGCCTGATTACTACTTTTAAGAAACTAGTCTACAGAAGTGTCAGAACTTATTAATTTTTAAGGGATGTGTCGTGTGCTCACCAGAGAGAAACAGGGGGGAAAGTGAGAACTTATTAAATAACAAGAGACTATAGAACAGATTAAGTATTCAAAATGACCAAACAGCTTTTCATTTAGAGGTATGTGGGAAAACACAGTAGCAGTATCATAAATTAAACGTCTATGAACCACCTAACTTTGTAACTAGAAGCTTCCTAAAATACACATGAACTTTGATTATTCCATTTCTTCTAGTTTGCTATAGGGTTCCTGCGCTTGCCAAAGAGAAAAAGAGACAGAGAGAGATTGGGAATGTGAGATATTCATAGTCCCTTCTCCTCCATTCTCCTTTCAGGATTTTGGCATGCACACACACGTGCCTAGCATGATTTTCAAGACGCTGGGTCTGGCACAGTCGGCCACGTGAGATCCTGCCGCCTTAACCGTCCCTCCACTGGATAGCTCAATTACTCCTTTTCTTTCTTTTTTTTTTTTTTGAGAGATTTTCACTGCAGGGCGCGTGTGCTCGCCAGGCAGACAGAGAGAGACATAGAGACAGAAAGCGAGAAATCACCCCCCAGGGGGGATGGTCACGCCGCAATCCCTTCTCCTCCATTCTCCTCTCGGGATCTTGGGCACGCACGCACACGCGCCCGGCGTGAG